AATGAGGGGGCAATAAAGGCATGAAGTGACTGGCTTACAAGATTTCAAGAGGGAGTTTAGTTTAAGAGTATGGGGGGAAAGGATCCCCACTGATTAGCTGTCATCTTAACCAGATGAGTCTGGTGAAAAGAGGTGGGGATAGTATTCATAAGATTCAATAGTGAATAATTGTTACCATGACTAATTGTGACTGTCACAACTGTAAAGGTAGAAGTTTTGTAACAAAAACAGGGGAGTGGTCAATCTTACAGTCAGGAACAGAGGACCCTAGGACCATCAAGAGAGAAGCGCACAAGCAGAGTTTGGGACCTTATCCAGAGAAGCAGCAGCGCCAGAGATGGAGGCAGAGATGGGGGCATGGAGAGGGGGAGTGGCTGAGGACTCTAGATTCATGAACTAAGAAGAGAGGGACTAAGAGCTGGTGGCCAGGAGGCAGACTTGCAGAATGTGCCCTTTGACGATATAAATTATTATATATGCCTGAGTAGGGTTTTTTGTTGCTGTTGTATGTTTTTAAAAAGCTAAAGTGGATAGAGAGAAATACTGTTAACTGATGGTACATGGAGGGGATTATAATCATTGTAATAAAACAAGGTATATGATTTGTTTAATGTAAAACTGATGATATGCCCTGTAAACTTTCACTCAATCAACAATAAAAACCTTTTAAAAAAGGATCTTAAGGTACATAAAGAAAGAAGGCTTGTCAGACTTGTGGCAAATGTGAATTCATGCAGAAATTTAGATGTAGTAGTAATGGTAGCATAGTGTTTATGAATCAGGCTGCTAACCTCAAGGTCAGCAGTTCGAAACTACCAGGTTTTCTGTGGAATTAAGATGAGGTTTTCTGCTCCTGTAAAGATTTACAGCCTCAGAAACCCTGTACAGGGTCACTAGGAGTCAGAACAGCCTCCATGGTACATAACTACCTCAACCAGGTATTGTCTAAACCACATCTGAGATGTTACATTTTTTTAAATATCTTTAGTAATTTTCTAAAAGAAGAGTCATGTGTTTTCAATTGTATGATTATATCAAAAAATTCAATTCATAGTTTTCTATTTCCTGACTATTCTATAGTATGTTAATTAGCAACGACTTCTTATATAATTCCCTAAGATAAAGCAAGTGAAAAGGGGAAATGTCCCTGGTTAAGAGAGACTCATACTGGGAACTGATGGCCAGGAACTGAGCACTCTCCCACATAAACAGTCATCATTCTCCAGCAGAACTGTTGAGCCAGTGGCTGACACTGAGTCCTTTATTCACTCTGAGCCCCTTGTACCCTTTGATTTGAACTGTTTACCTGATTACCTTGTTAGGTAAGTGCCATAGGGAGGTACCTTCAAGACCCTCAATGCCACATAGATTGTCTCCCATGTATTCTGCAGGTGCTGCTAAACTCAGTGGTGTTATCAGGAGACAAACCTAAAAACGTTTTACTCAGGGTAAATTGTTAGATTACTTCAATTTTGTTTCGTTCATCAGAGACACCCCAAGCTCTGGGGAACTGCAGACTATACTGTGCAATCAAGAGCTATAACTCTATCACATCATCAGTTACCAGGGAGAACTGCTTCTTGAGATGGTTCCTGAGTGCCTAAAGAAACACAGTGTTATTCAGTACTGAGACGCCTGAAAAGATCACTGTTTTCATTTCACCTATAAAAAGCTAATTTTTCCAAGTTGAACACTAACTATGCTGTTTAAGATAAAAGACGAAAGATTCCTCACTTGTAACTATCTTTCCTTCTACCTCTACTTCTAAACACATACACACACACACACACCTATGCAAACATCTCTGTCTCCAACCACAGGAGAGATGACGGTAAGCCAGTCACTTCTTGCCTTTGTAGCCCCCCTATTTTGGGTAGCCAATGTCTCAGTTGCCCATCCTTGTCTACCCTGTGTACCGAGGGGGGTGGAATGATCCTTGCTGTAAAGATTTGTTCCCTCTTTTGAGCTACTACATTCATAGGTATAGGTCAAGTTCATCAAATTGTATCAGATTATACTTTTTTTCCCTCTTCTTTCTTCTTCAAGTCGAATTCTGATCATCCAGCCATTGAAGCCAGGTCAAGTGGATACTATCTGCAAGTGTGGGTGTTCTTGTGCATCTCCCCTCCTTCTTATCAGCTGGACACTTCACTCTCTGGCCTAGTCCTCTGTGGCCATGTCACTGTCTCTGGGTCCAGGAGACCCCAGGACTTGCCATACTGCTGGGCAGCAGGTCTCAACTTGGGTTCACAGGAGTCTATTAATTCACAACTTCATCGCTGTTTTTCCCCCACTTCCCCTTATTGGTGATGGATCAAGTCTTTAAAGTACTAAATGGAAATTATTCTTTCATAACAGGAAAGTCTAAGTTTTAGAAGAGGAACTTCATACTAAACCACTGACCAGCAACTGATGATACTAGTCCTCTCAAATGCTGGTTGGTTCTCTACCAATGAGGTTACCCAATCCAGAGGCAAAGCAATGCATTTCTTGATTCCTAGTTATTGGGTTGGTGATGCAGGAGACTTGCCTGCTGCTCTCTGACCCTGTGATCTCCTCTTCTCCAGCATGGTGTGCTTCGGCTCCCCTGGGGACACCTGACAGTAACTCTGACCATGATCCTGATGGTGCTGAGCCCTCCTCTGGCTTTGTCCAGGGACAACCAACATAAGTGCACACCTTGGGACGTAGCTATTATTGAGTAGGGGATGGGGGAAAAGAGTTAACTTTGTCACTGTGCCCAGGTATTGTGAAGTCATGTTATTTTTAAAGATTGTGACATTTCCTCAATGATTCTGTATCTTTACCACATGGATTCCAAATTCTTTACACCACAGTGATTAGGGGACTCTTTCAAACAAAGTGACATTCAGGTGAGAAGCTAAAGGGGACAAATGTTCCAGGGAACGGATACTGCAGGAGACTGGTCTCCATGTGACAGGAGCTCTGCTGTGTTTGAGGCTGAGAGTGAGGTAAAGTGACTGGAACCCAGTGAGTAAGGAGTTGATGGGGAGAAGATGAAGTTGAGAAGGAGTCAGGGGCCAAATCATCAAAGGGCTCTGGTAAGAAATCTCAATTTTATTTCAACAGACAGATGATACCACTCTACAGTTACATAGAGAACTAATTTATATTTATTTTTAAAATTAATTCTAGCTACTATGTGGAAAATGGATGGTAGGGCTCACCAATGGAAGCAAAACAACCACTTAGGAACATGGCAGAAATGTTCCGGGAAGAAATGCTTGTGGCTTCATTTAGTATTGTAGTGATAAATACAGAGAAAAGTGGACAGATCTAGGATATTTTATTAGTGGATAAAATCTGAGTGGTAGGAAAACAGAAAATCAAACTTATCACTAAGGATTTTGTCCTTACAAAATTACAAGGTGGATCTTGGTGTCCTTTATTAAGACAGGTAAGATCAAGGGAAGAAATTATTTGTATAAGTAATGGTTTTATTTAAATTAGGTTTGATATGCCATTGGGACATTGATTTACATTCTTAAGATGTCAATTAAACATTAAAACTTGAGCTTAGAGAGAGTCCCGGGCTGAAGATGAAGAAGATGATGTCATCCCTCTATGGGTCATGCTCAGTACTAGAAAGTGGAGGAGATTACATAGGGAGGGACAGTATGGTCAGAGACCAAACACAGAGGCATTTTCATATTTAAAATGGATCCAGTAAGAATCAGTCCATCAAGGAGACTGAGAAGGAGCCCCAGTGATGTAGGAGGAAACCAAGAGAACATGATGATGCCAAGGAGTGGCCAGCTGTGACCAATACCACTAAGAAGTAGGTGAGGTGAGGACATGACAGAGAAGTGAGCTCTGGGGTTGGGTGGACTTGTCATTGGCAGGTTCAGTCTTACACCAATGTTGGAGACTGACTGAAGAGTGAATGGGAGGTCAGGAAGGGAACTTGGAGTGTACATGACTCTTAAGTAGCTGACCTCAGGGAAGGAGTGTGCTCTGGAACCAGAGTCAGTTAGTCTTAAAATGCAGCAATAAAAGTGTATGAAAAGTAGCTGGGAATAATTAAAAATCATATATGCTTAGAAAATAGCAAGGACACACTATAGCATCATTGTTTGAAGTGTTGAGTGATTAGGCACAAAAATTATTAATTCACACAACAAACATTTGTTAGCACCTACACCAGTCACTGTCTTAGGTAAAAAGGAAGAAGTGATGAACAAAACAAATCTGGTCTCTCTTAGCGTAAAGCTTGGAACATTTTGCAGTTACTATGTACAGGGTCGCTATGGGTCGGAACTGACTTGACGGCACACCACAACAACAACATGTACAAGCCCTATGGAGCCCTGGGGGGTGCTGTAGGATAAGCTAATCACAGGTGGATGGTTCAAACTGCTAATCACAGGTGGATGGTTCAAACCCACCAGTGGCTCTGAGGCAGAAAGATGAGGCTGTCTGCTCCAGTAAGGACTGACCGTCTCAGAAACTCTATGAGTCACTGTAGTCAGAATCCACATGATGGCTGTAGGGATGTGCAATCCGTATGAATAAAAGGATTGGGAATTCAGATCTAAGTGTGCACAGTGACATTAGCACAGTTCCTATGTGACATGGTGTACTGACTACAGTATGGTTTGTGGGAAACTGAGATGAAAATTGGGAGTGGGGAAATAACATAAAATAACAGGTTATGAGTCGGCCTGCTAACCTCAAGGTCCGCAGTTCAAAACTATCAACCAGTCCACAGGAGCAGCATAAGGCTTTCTGCTCCCGTAAAAGATTTACAGCCTCAGAAACCCTCTGCAGGGCCACGATGAGTCAGAACCAAGTCCAAGACCACCACTCCCACCAAGTATTTCAGAAGGCTCAGTACAGAAGTTATGGTGGTCAGTATTCTTGAAAGTTACTGAGACATTGAAATTATGATCCAGAACAATCTATTGCATTTAGGATTTATGAGATCACTATCAGTCTTTACTAAGACCACTGGCACTGAAGTTATAGCACAAGGCACACAACATTGACGTTTTCACCACAGAATTTTCAAATGGTTTTCACCCAGGGACAATTCTGTCCCTCAGGAAGCACTTGGCAATGTCTGGAGACATTTCTCGTTGTCATAACTAGAGAGACGCTGCTGCTACCTACCAAGCAGTGACCAGGGATGCTGCTAAACATCCTACAGGAGATCCAGCCTCTAACAAATCATTGTTCAGGTCACAATGTCATTCAGGCCAAGACCGCAAACATTGGCTTACACTGTACTGCTGCTGAAAGTTCTAGAGTCACATGATATATGTAAACTCATCTCCAATTAACTTGTTCATGGGTTGTTTCAACTTGTTCCCTTGTCAAAATGCTGGAAATGTTCCCATTTTGTTGTTACATTTATTCAATCCAATGCAAATTCAAGATCTAACTTTTTTGCTGCCTTATGCAACGTTTTCCATTGTTCTTGAGTTCTTGGTCACCATCATCTTTCCTAACTTCACAACTTGTCTTCATATTGTTAAGTCACACCGGGTGGTGATGGCCACAAGTATTTTTCAGTCTAGTGCCTCAAACACACATAGCAATGTTATACTTTACTAATGTTGGGAGCCTCCATTGATTTTTATCATTTTGAACTACAACGTTTTTCTATCACTTCAAAGACAAATATTTCATAGTCCATATTTCACCTGATTTTGAAGACAAAACCACAGGAATATTGAGAAATAGACATGAGCGATCAGAGCTCTGAGACTCATCTGATACCCGACCTCATCAAGTCAGATTTGCACAATGAGATTCAGCACTGTGAAAGATTTTGTTCTGTTTTCTGAGATTTCTGGATTTTGAAACAACTTTAAGGCATAAAAAGAAGAAAACATCACCACTGCCACTAAGTTGATTCTGAGTCACAGAGAGTCCATGTCGGGTTTCTGAGGCTGCAAATCTTGATGGAAGTGCACAGCCTCATCTTTCACCTGGAGAGCAGCTGGTGGGTTTGAACCACTGACCTTGTCGCTAGCATCCCAGCATCTAAGTCACAGCACCATCAAGGTTTATATTTGATTATGATTTTAATTTGTTGAAGGCAATAATTACTCATTTCCTATAACATTTAGTACAAATCCAAAAGCCTAACATCACCTACAAGGATTTTAACTACCTGGCTCCATGTCACTTCTCCAATCGAATCTTTTCTGCTCCTTTCCCTTAGCCTCTGTGTTTCAGTGAATCTTTTCTTCTGGTTTCTTAATGGAGTTTATTAATGCTTTCAAGCTTTTGTACATGCTCTTACCTTTACCAAGGGTCTGTGGATAGCATAGTGGTTACAAGTCTGGCTGCCAACCAAGGTTAGCAGTTGGAAACTACCATCTGTTCCAAGGGAGAAAGAAGAGCTTTTTTGCTACCGTAAAGATTTATATCCTCGGAATCCTTATACAGGATCGCTATGAGTTGGAACTGAGTCTATGGCACACCACCAACACCACAATTACCTTTACAGAAAACACCTCCGTTTTAGCCAAAGTCACACACATTCCCTACTCTTACCATAACTCACATCAACTTAATGTTTCCGATCAACTGTCTTAGTTTTGAAAAGTCCTGGTGGTGCCGAGGGTTTGTGCTGGGCTGCTAAGCAAAAGGCCAGTGGTTCAAATCCATCAGCCACTCTGAGGGAGATGGGCGTGGCAGTCTGCTTCCATAGAGATTTTCAATCTCTGAGACTCCATGGAACAGTTCTATTCTGCCCTACAGCGTCACTAGAAGCCTAAAAAGACACGAAGGCAGTGGGTTTGGGTTTGATACATGGTCAGAACCATAGAGGTCCCTACAGGATGGAGGGATCAGGCCGTGTTTGGAGGAGCAGGTGAAGAATGTGGAGATGAGAAGAACAAATGGTGTAGATGGCAGTGAGGGGGCACATCCTAGTCTGCCCCCACGTGGAGACCTGCAGCCAAGTGTCTCAGCAGGAGCTGATCCGAAGGAGCTGGAAACAGAGGAAACAGAGGTGTCTACCCTGAGAGGCCTCAGTCAGGATCAGGGATGATGGATGAGCAGCACCAGTGGGGGTGGGGGCGGGTGGACGTGGAGCCCATCAGGGGCCTCAGTGCTGCCACCTCGCGTCAGGGCGGCCCGACCGGTAGGCTTCGTCCTCGAGTTCTTCCGGAGAGACTTCCCGGTGACCGGCTCCCCCCTGTCCCCACAGCGCGTTTCCTGGAACAGGGTAAGGCTGAGTGTCACTTCACCAACGGGACGGAGCGGGTGCGGTTCCTGGACAGATACATCCATAACCGGGAGGAGTACGTGCGCTTCGACAGCGACCTGGGGAAGTTGGTGGCGGTGACGGAGCTGGGGCGGCCGAATACTGAGTACGGGAACCGCCGGGAGGACTACCTGGAGCAGGCGAGGGCCGCTGTGGACACGGTGTGCAGACACAACTACGGGATTTTTGAGAGCTTCACGGTGCAGCGGAGAGGTGAGTGCGGGGGTCGGGGGGTGTCGCAGGCATCTCGGACCTTCTGGAGGCGGCTTTTGGGCTTAAGTTTCCTGTTTGTTTCTTTTTTGAACATTTCTGGTGTGGTGTTGCCGGTTGATGCGGTAAACTGCAACGTCGGTGGGGACCATTAAGGTCAGCAGTTCTAACTCACCATCTGCTCCTTGGAGACCCTGGACAGGGTCCCTGTGAGTCGGGTCCCGACTCGATGGCACTTAGCAACGCAACAACATTTTTACAGAGTTGAACTAATTATGAAACCAGCGTTTTGAAGTATAATCTCTATTAACACACTGATGTTACTACATTTACAGCTATGCTGGCAGAAATTTACTTACATATCAGTGTTTTGTCCACTGTGACACTGTTTACCTCACAGGGTCGCCCTGGTTACGGCTGTCTTTTCAATATTGTCACATACTCCGTGGAGCCTTTCTCTTTTCATTTTCTATTTCTGGATTCCTGAGGCCCCTAAACATGATCTGTATTATTGCCCGATTGTAATTTCTATTCTGTTGTTCGGTGCCGTCAAGTCGGTTCTGACTCCTAGTGACCCTGTGGAGGGTTTCCGAGGAGCGGCGGGTGGATTTGAACCCCCAGCTTGAGGATCAAACCGACCTATGGGTCCAGGGCTTCCCGTCCAGCGCCACCCAGGGACGCCAGTGTCTACTCTGGGAATTATCTGCTCACGGTTCTCTTGGGGTTCCAGTGGTTTCTAAGAGAAATGGTTTCTCTACAAAGGAAGATTGCTCACACGCTGCACACATTTCATTAAGCATTTTCTTCAGTTCGTAGTTTATATTTTGATTCTGCTATTTCTGATGTTAAGAATTTAAACACGTTTATTAAATGAGATGTACTGTGTGGGATAAACACTGGTTTATCCTACACACACAAGGTTTGCGGTTCAAACTCACCAGCCATTCTCTGAACCCTATACACAGGTTCGCTCTGAGTTGGAACCGGCTCTAGGACACTTACCAACAATTGTAAAATGATTAGAAAGGTTTTCCCATCAATCTTAAATCTACAATGTTGTGTTATTATATTAATGCATCCCAGGTTACTCAATTTTAACAAATAATTAAATTATCTGATAGGTCTTCTAGTATCAGGGATTGCATTAAGCTTCTACATTAATGAACACCAGACCCCAGCCTGCCCTAATATGTCCGTTTTGAAAGAGAGCTGGTGGAGAAAGGTTACAATTCTAGTACTAGAAGTGTTTGTGTAGTAAAGGGAGAGGGATGGATGTTGGGGACCCGCTTCGACATAGGGGTTCCGTTCACGAGGAGGGAATACCTGACGGCGATAGATATATAGCAAGAATACACAGATAGACAGAAGAAGGGAGACAATGAGGCACCCCAAAGCCAGGGTGGATACATCACTGGTGGGAAGGCTTGGGACTACAGGCATCGTGGCCTCTGCAGGCAGCAACTCACTGCCCTGCCATCTTTACTGCATGCCTTCCAACCAGTAATGCACTGCAATCTTTACTCCTTGCCTTCCAACCAGTAATGCACTGCAATCCTTACTGCATGCCTTCCAACCACTAATGCACACCTGGGGAGGCGCGGGCCTCTGTTTTATTTAGGGGAGGAGCTTCACACCAAGCTGGGAGGGACTTAGGCAAGGTACAGCTAACATCAGTACTTTTCCAGACATTCAGGTAACTTTACATCATACTTCCCTAGTTCGAATCCCAGGCCAGCAACTTGGATTCTCAGGCCCAATTAACATATCTATAGCCCCTGAGCATAGTTGGGGGAAGGTGAGAGTAATGACAAAAGCTTGGGCGGAGTCCTGCTGCTTCGGCTTCCTGAGCCAGGTCTGCAGGAGGACTCCAGATGCCCAGGTGAATGGGCTGCACCTGGAAAAGGATTAGGGAGGATGGGTTCTTTGTCTATAGAACAAAGAACCGAGAAGTAGCTAAGATATTTTTAGTTAATCCTTTTGGAGAAAGGCTTAACCTTACAACCTTTAGTCTCCACTTTAGGAAAATATCACATTTATCTGTGGATTGTCAAAGGCTCCGTGTATTAATTTAATATATATAACTGAATATTAAGATGAAAGCAATTTGCCATTAACTGCCAGTGGCCTCATTTGTTACACTCGGCCCAACCTCTGACTAGTCTTACATGGTCCTCCACAGATGGATCCGATGAGAGTGAATAGTCAGCCTTCTTTTCTAATGACTGACTTTCTCCAGAAAGTTCTCCCTCCTTCACCCTCATGCCTTCCCTGAGACTCCATCCCAGACTCAGAGACTCACGTCTGTCCTGCTCCCAGGGCGGGAACCTTTCCTGGGGCTCTAGGAGTCAGGGGCATCAAGATAGCGTTCTAGGACAACCCCCCTGCTGTTCCCATCTCAACACATGACCCCGAGTCTCATTGTCTCTCAGAGTAAACACGGACAATAACTGAGACTGAGGAGCAGTCACTGGTTTACATGTTGTCACTGTGTCAGTTCTCAGGTAACCCTGAGACACCAGTGACTACAAACAGTCCTTTATATTGGTGAGAAAAGGAGCCCTGGGGATGCGGTGGTTCAGTGTTGAGTTACTAACCAAAGGTCAGTAGTTCTAACCTACCAGTCCCTCCCCTGGGAAAGGTGAGGTGTCAGCTTCCATAAAGGTTACAGCCTCAGAGACCTCACGGGACAGCTCTCCTAGAGTGTGGCTATGGGTTAGACTCACCTCCAGGGCAGTGAGTTTGGGTTTGGGTATAAATGAGAAAGCTGAGGCACCGAGGAATTAAAAACAAAAATCTATTCCAGGACTGGATTTATAGAGCCTGAGTTTGAACACAATCTCTCTGCCACCCCAAATCATGCTTTTGATGGAACACTACATGTCTTGCTAAAATGTATAAACACTCCACAGTGAATAACTTACAATTTTTTAAAGACTTAGACTTTTACTCATGTCTCTTATATCTATTGGATCCATGATGTGAGGAAGAAATCCAAGGCCCATAACATACTGGCTCCTGTGGCCACAAGATGAGTTTAGAGGGAGGCCTGCCCAAGACTTGAGCCTGGATTTGAAGAGAGACACAAAGGCAGTGAAGCAGTGGTTCCTGTGTCTTCCTCACTTCCTGTGTTTGCCTTTTCTCTCCTAGTGGAGCCTCTGGTGACTGTGTATCCTTCAAAGACTGAGCCCCTGAAACACCACACCCTCCTGGTCTGCTCTGTGAATGGCTTCTATCCAGGCCACATTGAAGTCAGATGGTTCCGCAATGGCCAGGAAGAGGAGGCTGGGGTTGTCTCCACAGGCCTGATCCAGAATGGAGACTGGACCTTCCAGACCCTGGTGATGCTTGAAACCATTCCTCAGAGTGGAGAGGTTTACACCTGCCACGTGGAGCACCCAAGCCTGACGAGCCCCATCACAGTGGAATGGAGTGAGGAGCTCTCTGACCTCACAAATTAGTCACTCAATATTAAGGGAGACTTAGCTAATCCCCAAATACCAGATCTCTTTTCTTCCCACACCGTATTTTCATTTGGTCCATGTTCTCTCCTTCAGTACAGGTCACTGAGGTAGCTCTGAGCTAGTTTGTACAAATACCTATACTTCTGGTGACACAAATACGCCTAGCAGACAAAAAAGAGTTTCTCCCTGCTTTGAATAGTCTTATATCTCAGAATATGACCTCTATCTTCTCCCTGGGTATTAGTCCTGTGACTCTGGGGCAGAGGGTAGTTCTACTTCCTGTGCTGTTGCTGTGAGTCAGACAGATGTTCACTATGAGCATCATCTACAATCTAGGTCCTTCCTGACCCCAGGGGAATGCAGTCTCAACCCTGCCCTTTGTGGGCTTGCTCGGTCCCTCCAGACAGGTTACGTAACCTCATTGACAGGTGTCTCACACATCAGATATTGTTTCAACATCTAATGTCAGGACTGTGATATTTGATGAGTTCAATGCCTGAATCTTGTATCTACTCAGTGTGATTTTTTTTTTCATTGTTTTTTTTTTTTTTCCTTCTGAGAAGTGACTAATTATTCTAGTTCATGTAACAGACTTCTTCCCCTGTTCTCAAAAACTCTAAATCTCAGAGTCTCAATTAGAAGAGTTGCATATGGAGTAAAAACCACTGAACCTGACTTCTTCTCTTAGGAGCACAATCTGAATCTGCACAGAGCAAGATGCTGAGTGGAATCGGGGGCTTTGTTCTGGGTCTGCTCTTCCTCGGGGCGGGGCTGTTCATCTACGTCAGGAATCAGAAAGGTAAGGAATCTGGTGGTAGCTGAGATGGCCTCTGGACTTCTCTGAGGGAAGAAATAGAGCTTTGCTCAAGTTAGTTTTCTATATAGTGGTGACCTTATAGAAAGTTTTTGTTTTCCAATGAATTCCAAATTTCAGGACATTCAGAAATAAAGAGGCCATTGTTCTTTTGTCAAAGAAAAGGGTTTGTATAACCTGTGAATGACAAAAGAAAGTTTACTATGCATGGGGTCCTTGGGTCAGGATAGCTGGGCAAATGAAAGAGAAGCCACTAAGCCTGATCACAGCATTTGTGTGGCAGGATTTTGAGAGATTGCAGATTCCACCCTGCCATTGTGTGATATTCCAGTCATCTCAGGTGGGAGGTCTGAAACTGAGGATATGGTGTATGTGGGGACATTCTTAAGCTGTATGTGTTATAAACTTTTCTCTCTTTCCCAGGACACTCTGGACTTCAGCCAACAGGTAGTGTACTTCTATCCTTTTTTAGAGCTGGATTTGGTTCTCTTTAATTACTAGTAGAAGGTACAAGACAGAAGATTAAAATGTAAGGAAAGGGGGAACAAACAAGATGGCAGATCAGGTGGAAGTGCAGTAAAGGAGCCCTGCCAACAACAACACAGAATACCCAATGGGAGTGGGAGTAGGGGGTTGGGGGGAAGGTTCAGAGTGGCTACAAATGCCTGGCAGAACCGCTGAGATATAGGTGTGGACATTCTTTTCTTTTGGTATCTGTTCATTGGTCCCTTGCTATCTGCGTACCTCCATTCTGGTGACTATAGGG